ATTTGGCAAATCTTGTGTTTAGTAGCTGAATCTTCCCTAAAGAAGTGATTGATATCAGCAGTGCTTTTAGGCTGCGTTCCTCGGACACCTGTAGCCAAGGGATCGACTTGGGTGGAGTAGATGGTACTTGTAACTGTCTGCAGAGGGCTGGGAACTGGAGGAGCCCTAACACTGGGTGCAGGCAAGTTATCTTCTTCGTCCCTGGAGACATTGCCGATGTCAATGTATTCTCCGTCATCTGGCGTGCGACTAGTGCCAGTACGAACTGGGCTATTATTGCGGAACCTCAGAGGCAGTTGCCATTGCCTTTGGGGGTGTTGAAGCATAGTTGCATTCAATGCAACAGCGGCAGCAATGGGCGCAACAGTGGCAGCAATGGGCGCAACAGTGGCAGCAATGGGCGCAATAGCGGCAGCAATGGGGGTAATGATGGGGGTAGCATCAATTGGAGCAGCGGCAGTAGGAGTTACAGCAGCATGAGTAGGCACAGTGGTAACTTGAGACTTCTGCCCTTGTTGACGAGGAGGCATGTTTGAGTGACAGTAAAGATTCAAAGACACAGTCTTTATGTATCTTCGTCAAGGGAAACAGCGGGGAAACACCAGTGCTGAGTCAACTAATGACAAGTCCAACATGTACGCACAAGCGAAGGTCTGAACAACATTATTAATTGTGATATGACACCAGGAGGACAACTGAATGTATGCCCAGGGTACGTACCATAAGATCTTGTTCATTTGAGTGGTCCTAGGCAGCACAATATATGTGTGGGGTTTCCCCGATGCCCACTACTTACCCAATGAGAGGGATACTGATACCATAAGATGTGCGTTCTGATGTACCCTAGATTTCGCAATCAGTTGGTTATATTGAGCACAGTAAAGTGGTCCTAGGCAGCACAATATATGTGTGGGGTTTCCCCGATGCCCACTACTTACCCAATGAGAGGGATACCAATACCACAAGATGTGCATTCTGATGTACCCTAGATCTCACAATCAGTTGGTTATATCGAGCACAGTAAAGCTTACCTACATCCTCAGAGTCAACTGGCTGTCCAGAAGCCAGATTGTGATATAGCAAGGACATCCAGTGAAAGGGACATCTCATGTTTGCAGAGGGTTTGCCATGGTTGTCAGGGTGGGTGGTTTGATGGTCACTGAACACATGTTTCAAATATCAACCAATGGGTCAAGCGAGTTAATGCTTACCTTTATTCCAGGAGTCAATGACTGATTGATTGAGCATTTAATTGTGATACAGTGCAAGGGGATTGGGGTGTTTGTGGAAAATCCCCCATGTGTTGTTGGTCATGACAGTGATATGATTCAATAAGGCGAAACTGGTAGATGTTGGGAATCAGGCTTCAGGAGTAAGGTACAGGTATCCAGGACAAGTTTGTTTCTGTAGCAGGCCAACCGATTTGCAGAAAAACAGCACTTGCAACTTGCAAGGAGGATGGGCAAGGAGATGGTAGGGTGAGAAAAAGATAAGAAGCTGCATGACTCAGCATGGAGTCAGCCCTCAGGAGTTGGGAGTCGGGATTCAGGAATCAGGCCTAGGGTTCAAACGTTCAAGATGCAAATTTGTCAACATGTATTTGACCGCATTGAACGGTTTGAAACCTATGAGAAACACATTGTAGACTTGTACAGTGTACAGTTATGTAAAGATAGAAAGACATATTCAACAGCGTGATCTAGCAACTAATGGCTTTTTCCGCAGTGCGGTTGGGTGCATGGGAGAGGTATTACGTTGGTGTAAACTTTGAAATCACATTAGCTTCAGATTGTGAATGGGAAAATGAGACAGAATACTCACACACAAGTAGATCTGCGAAGTGGTGTTGCATTCGGCAGACATGGGGCTGCCTCGGCCATCCAGTGTTCATTGGAGATTGGAGGGTGATGTGTGATGTGATTATCGGGCAGCTGAAATCCAGCGAGCCTGTAGATGACGCAGTCAAGGTGGCTTGAAGACCACAAAGCAATGAACGAAGATGCCCATAGTCAGGGTCTTCCGAGAACGCAAGAGAGCGCGTGTAGATGAGAACACTTGCAAATTTGATGGGAATTCCATCGCATAAGACTTCAATGGTGGTGTTGACCTTGCGCTCGAGTATGGAAGAGCTGGAGAGTTTCTTGTGATCACTATTTAACCATGGATGGGAGCTGCATAACAGATAGATCAACATGTATGTAAGCGATTCAAGGTCGTCACAATGACCTGGGTCAACTCCTAAGTGGTTGTTGATTGAAGCGAAGGCAGGAGTGCCAGTGAGACATTGATTTTGATGAAAGGGAATATGGACTCTGGTTGCAGTGTCCCAGTATTCCTTCATGATACCGAAATCGATTATAAATGCAGTGTGCTTCAAATGGCCAAGGCCCACCAAGATATTCTGCAGTTTGATATCACAGTGAACATAATTGTTCGAGTGGATGTACTCAAGACGTGAGAGCTGGAAAATGGGTTAGCCTATCTGCAACAACCCAGCATGAACCGACTGACCAGTTGGATTCCTAGATTGACAACAGTATGAAGGCTAAATTTTCGATCATGTGCAAGGAAAAGATCATGCAGTGATGGCCCAAGGAGGCCGAGAACCAAAGCATGATATGTTGATTCTCGACCGAACCAGAGAGCACGGGGTATCCCAACTCCACCTTCAAGTCGTTTCAGAATGGCGTATTCGTGCTGTACAGAAGATGGCTGGGCTGTGATGGATTCGAGTTTGATGGCAACTGCATCATGTTGATGTTCCAAGTGTGGTACACAACAGCTAAGTAGGGTCCATAGTATGTTAATTTTTTATAATCATAGTCAGCTTGTGAATAACACACCGTATGAACCAGATCCCAAAACATCTCTGAGTCTGAATCTACCGTCAACTCGTATTGGGACCTTATGGTTCATGGTGGGTATACTATGAGATAACTTGAGCCTTGAGGCCTCAAGGAGCAACAGTCAAACTAACCGGGAATGAGACTTCAACAGGGATGTGATTTCGTATTTATAAATCAGCTTGAGCTGCTGTTGTTTATTTTTGGCTCACAGTTGGTTTGTGGGACTCCAAACGGCTAACAAACCAGACCAAACTATATATAAGTAGCCTGGCTCACTAGGATAGCCAAAATACTTGCAAACTGATGAAGACCAAGCCGGAGCGGGCCATAGCCGAGCTGTGGTTGCACTACTCATTTACCACCATGAAATTATCTAGCAGGCTCATATATAATACATAGGGTGTGTTCAAGGCCAACCATGGCCAGGATCAGTAAGAAATAGGGCGGATCATTGATATCATGGATATACTAGATATATTGAGTGATAAGGAATTTTGCATGTCATCAGGGAGATCTAGGGAGATTGGACTGTTGTGGTCCATTCTAAATGCACCAGGAAGTATATTTCTAGTGCTACAGGATGATCCACCTAGAATTGAGAGCAGGGCAAGCATATAGATAAGAATTGGACTGTGGGAAACCTCAGGAGTCAAAACATCGAAAACCAACTCACTTCATACACATACAGCTATGGCCTCCAAACAACCTACATTCATACAACAACCCTTCCACTCCACCTCTACCCATGGAATAGAGTGTAGGAAGGTTCTTTGGGCACCCTACTATGTAATTTACTGACTTTTAAGAAAATATTTACCCTGTATATACATCAATTATGACATTTGTAGTTTTTTTCTCCTAAGAAACATCATATTTCACTTCCCTATTCATCAATTGTGGATGAGCGGTCTTGTGCTCCTGGAATATTGTATATACTATTGAAAGGTTGCTGGGGGTCATATTTTCAAGTCTATATAGTTTAAACTGAAAAAATGCGAAGCTATTTGATATTTTTTGTGTGCATGCTACATCTAGTGGTGTAGGGACCTTTAGAGGGTCAAACAAGCAGTATAATAGACTCATATATACTAAAAAGCATATAATTAGTGTGCTAATACATTATATAATTGAAGGGACAAAAATGCGGATGTGTTTTTGATATGTTTTTCCTGTATGATATGTACAGGTCTCTGGAGCTTGTATTGGTACAAAAACAGACAAAAATGTGTTATATTCTGACCTATTATATGTACATAGCCTATACTAATACTTATCTACAGTGGATAGGTGGATATGGTATGGTGGTGGGCAGGAATATGCTTGGGAGGAGTGTGGGAAATGTTGAGATCCAGGAGATGACCAGAAATGGATATGTTTTGGGTGTAGTGACAAAGTTCCCACAGTCAAAAAAATGCGGTGGTGCATATATATGGCATCTAACCCTGTCAGATTAGGTTTAGGAAGTGCTGAGAAGCTACTTCAGATTTGCACTTCATGCCATGCATGGTAGCATGCATGTTCTATCTGTGATCATACTGAGGCTCACTACAGTAAAAACATGCATGGCTACATTACTACAACCCTAGTTATATCATACATGAATAGGACAGTATAGCCTGCTTGGAGAGCTACATTGTCAATATCCACCGGCGGTGCGGCGAATACCTCTACCAAAAAGGTGATTGGGAGTTGGGATGTAATGATTGTAAAAGCTGGATGGAGCTAATATGTGTACTTACTACCGATATTGGCTCCAGGCACTCAGTACTTTTCTCTTTCTCCTTTCTCCTTAGTTCATATTCCTTTCTTTTCCGAAATCTCCCATACATATTTCAACCTGGCACCCTACATACTGGAGAAGTAGTTAATCCTTTCCTATCCCCACAAAACAACATGTTTAGTTTGGCCTGTTCTACCTGTTCACCCTTGGCAGCACTTTGACGATGTTCTCACTGTATGTGAGACCCTATTTTTATGTTGCAAATAAAAGGTCTGAGAGACATACTCCGTCAGGATGTCTCTCTCTAGTTTTGTAGGGCCATCTGAGTCTCCCTCCAGAGTTTATATGTGGATCCTCTTGCAGAGGGTGAGTCCATCCTCCTCATCTCCAGATCCTCCGCACTTGATGTCTTGTTGCTGTGATATCTGCGAGGGTTACCTCTCCAGATCCTCTCCACCTGATGTCCACATCTCCGTATGTTGGCGCAATGTCCTCAATGACAGATCATATGTCAGTCTCCCTATATGATAGAGCATATAATTTTTCTGTAGCACAATTCAATTGTTTGTTTGTTTTTTCTTCTTTTTTCGTGTGACCAATGAGGCATGAATCAGACAAAAGGCCATGCATTAACTAGTATGGTAAATACAATGATGATAAAAAAAAAGGACAAAAAAAGGACATCAACAGCAAGGTGAGTCAGGTGGGAAGCTCAATATCAAGATAGTATATAACAACACAGTATATAATATGTGAGTGTCCAATGAATATGATCAAACAGAGGATATCAAAGCTCTGTCTGGTCATCAGAATAATCAGGACCATACACACCATACCCGTGGTTATACCCCCCCCCCATAATATTAGGTGAGGGAGGGGTGCCAATAATCTTCATGGTACTCTCGAGGGTCATGGTTGTGGGAGTGACCATCATGATATCCACCGCTGCAATGGTGGTTTTCATCATACTGTTGAGGGGGCTGAGAGCCACGAGGAGGTTGAGACCCACAAGAAGGCTGAGGAGGCTGAGAGCCACGAGGAGGCTGCAGCCCATGAGGAGGTGGGGGGACATGAGGGGGTGGAGGGCCATGCTGCATACATTGATCATAATAATAACCGCGCTGGTAATTAGTTGGCAGATAGCGAGGGAACCCATGGGCAGGACCCTACAGATGATTCTCCCCATACGGAGGATCATTCCATATTGACTGATAACGTGGTTCCATATGTGATCCCTGATGTGGGCCATACATGCGGCCATCAGCCTGAACAATATCAGGTCTCAGGTTGGCATCACGGTGTGGGTACAACAAGTGCAGCAGCGAGAAATCGATCAACTACACAGTTGGGTCTTTGCTGCCTGCTGCCTCGCTTGGAAACAAGCACGTTCGACCCTTAAGGGGATTGCTACTGGGGAATACTAGTCTCTGTCTAAAACGACCCTACAGGATGAAAGATCTGCAAAAGCGGATGAAGCGGATAGGATGTGAAATGTACAGATTCGTTGGATGGAGCGGATGATACTTGCAGATCGAACGGGATGCGAATCAAAGTCGAAGGAAGTTCATTAAAGGTTGGATGGATAGTGGGTATAAGTCAAAGTGATCTTCTGGTAAGGTGCAGGAAAAGTGGGAGGAAGTTACATGAAGTAAGTATTTTTCGAAAACTTCTGTGCTTACAGGGTACAGTATTTTCAAGGAACACTTGGTATAGGTAGCGAGTCTAGACTGTGCCATAAGCTATCCGGAAAATAGTGGAGTGTGAGAGGATATGTCTGTGTTCAGTCAGTAACAAGGAAATGCATGTGAGTACATACCAATGAGGTAGAATGAATGTGGACAGGATGGATGCGCGAGCTATAGGGGGAGATCCGAAGGTATCTGCTTGTCATCCACAAAGTGGATAGGTATCGGATGGAATGGATAGGTGTCAGATGGACGTCGGATGGACACCTGATGCATTGGAAAAGTGGTGGATATGAGCCTAGCGTAGGGATACTCCCTACAACAGGAGGGCTCGGTCGCCAAATCTCCTTGCTGAACTAGCACATGATCAGTTTCTCCATGCCGCTTGTCATTGGGTGAGGCTGAAGCGGGACCAACACTGTCACTTGGAGCAGGAGCAGCATTGTCACTTGGAGCGGGAGTGACACTTTCTGGAGCGGTGGCGGCAGGAACAATGTGGTCCACAAGCATGTGGGAAGGCTGGCGACGTGTTGGTGAAGGTGACACTGGTGGCTCAGACCATGGAGGAAGCCTGTCGTTAAGCTCAGCATGGTATGCAGTAGCATTGGCAGTCAGCTCGGTGTGGTCTGAAACAGTGCTTGCATTGGTAGAGTTGGTCTCCTCACTAGTGACAGGGGACTTGACTGCAGGCTTGACTGGACGGGGCTTTGGGCACTCTAGTAAATATTTGGTCAATCTATCAGTGAGAGGATAATGAATCAGTGTAATACCTTTGAGTTCGGGTGGGCCATCACGAAGGCGTTTGGCAGTGTTGTCAGCCATTTCATTGTCAGAGGACTCAACAATCTCAGGCTTTGCTACCTTTTCATTTTGTCCCTTGGCCCTCATGGGTGCCTTGCCTTTATTTACCTTAGGCACAGGTGCCTCAGGAGATGAAGCCCTCTTCTTGGCTGCTCGCGAGCTAGCCTCTGACTTTGCCTTCCACTTTTTAGACACAGCCTTGTCCTCATAGTTGGAGTCAGCCTCCTTAGTGGTGCCATTATCTGCACCAGATTGAGCATTGCTAGATACCAGTGAGATACATTGTCTGCACCAGATTGAGCATTGCTAGATACCAGTGAGATAACTTCCTTCGGCTTCATGACCTTCATCTGTTGCTTCGGGAGCACCACAACCTTGAATTCACGAGAGGGGGGAGGTCTACCAATGGGTTTGATGGGGGGACCAGATGGATCATCAGAGTTGGAGTCGCCAGAGTTATCAGAAAGGGATATTGGGGAAGTACAGAAGGCTGGTGCCTTCTGAGAGGTCTTTCCTTTCCTTTTGGTGACAGCCTTACTAGGCTTCTCACAAGCAAGTCCATTGCGATCAGACTTTCCATTCGCAAAAAGACAATGTCCTGCTGTATGGATGGAATCTGCTGGGGGACATGCACCCTCCACTACTGGGCACTCAGAAGTGAGAATCTTACCTGTAGCAAAACATGCCTAGATGTCAGAATGCAGTAATAAAATAAGTTGAAGATGTACCTTGCTTGTCCTCCGAAACCTTTTTCAATTGCATGGTGCCCGCCTTCAGTGCCATGATGACCTCACCAACCTCCTTCAGGGTGAGATTCGCGATCCCTTTGCTCTTTGAAGCATGGTGTTCCCCGGGGAGTATGACATCCTCAGGGTATCCCTTGATCATCATCCCCTGACATGTGAGCTCTGCTGGGAGTGTATTCCAAGGGAACTTCTTTGATGACAGGAATTTGCCGCCCAGGTTTGGTGTTGTTCCTCATTAATGCAAGTAAGAGCAGGAGGATATACTAACACATACTGAGTTGGCGATAGATTTCTGCCTTGATCCACCTGGTCCCATCCTTGGATATATTGATGTTGTCGGATAGAGTGATTGAAGCCTCACGCTTGTTGGGCATGTCTAGCTGGCTAACATTGTTATCTCCTGGGAAGGTTTCCTCAACGATGGCGAGTGACATTGAATTACTAGGTATGGAGAGTTCAGTCACTACCAAGTTCTCTGAAGGATGGCGACTTACTATACTTGGGCCTTGAGATGCCTAATGATCGTATCATTGTCAGTCTTACAATGCAAGAGCCAAAACTGTGGGAGTGTGAGCATATGATGTTGAGGTCAAATCCAAACCAAAAAAAAAGTGAACTTACACCAGCAGCCCCTGCAGTTGTATGAGCCAGGCTGAGACCACCATCTTGATTAATGACTTTGCCACATGCCACCAAAGCTGCTTCAAATCTGAACTGTGCAGCTCCTCCATCCATCTACATGTATTCAATAATATGATACTACCAGTTGAGATTGTGCATACCACGGCAATGATTTTCTTACAAAACTTGTCAAACTCCTGCGTGCGCATGGAAACGGTCTGAGGGACACCACTGAGAAGTACAGATTGGCCATGGTGCTCTAGGATGGTCTGCCAGGAGTCTGGATACGCTACTTTAAATAGCTTGTAGCAGTTACAGCATACAGTAGTGCCTGACCAAAAATTGTTAGAAAAAATGACATAGTGAGAGTGAGAAATGCTCACTTGGTGTTCCTGGTATGTTAGGAGCCTTGCCACTGAGTTGGTCAAGCTCCTGACTGAGGTTATCCTTGAAGTAGCTGCTATATGCATTCCAATGGTTGACACGATTGATGCTGCGAGTGTGGTTCTTGTTCCACCATGAGATGACTTGATGAGTGGGGATGGAAGCTTCTCGACTGAGCTCATGCATGAGGTGTTCCATATCTACAAAACCCTTGCGGAGGATGGCATTTGTCACATCACTCCTCCATCCTTTCACAGCAGGGATGGTACCTTCACTGCCATCCATCAAAATGCCATCATCACTGTGATCCATCAGAATGTCATCATCACTGTCATTCATCAGAACATCATCAAGATCACAGCCTACCAACACTGGATCGATCTGAAAAGTGGGGGTCGGAGGTGTGACACGTGTCTCAGGGATGGCAGGTATCACAGAGGGACCAGTGGTGATGGGTAGTGCAGAAGGACCAGGAATGCCATTGATGAAGTCGTGAAAACCGGTGGTTGTGGGTAGTGTAGAGGGACCGGGAATGTCATCAGCAATGTTATGAGAACTGGTAAAGTCGCCACTAAAGTCGTATGTCCCATAGTCAACACGAGCAGGCTTATTAAATAGATTTGGCACATATTGCAGTAACATATCTCCGTATTATACGAGTGAATGGACGTGTATAATATCCCGTATGATATGGGCCAGTGGACCATGGACCGAAGGTAGATATATCCTCGACTATGACGGATGGGCCGGGAGTGTTATTATTCCTGATGGAGACGGGTGGGCCCATGTAGGGAATATGTAGAGTAGATGAGTGGGCCGATGGACATGAATATTCAATAGATGGATGGGCCGAGGTAGTTGGATATTATGTAGATGGGTTTACAAAGGTAGATGTGTATCAAATAGCCGGGTATGTCAAGGGTGCTTGTTATCACATAGACGGGTGGGCCCAGATATATATCATGTTAGACGGGTGGGCCGACGAATTAAGATTATTTTGTAGACGGGTGGGCCGACATATTGGTATTATTTTGTAGACAGGTGGGCCGAGGGAGTGGTGAAATATTTATTATATATACGGGTGGGCCAAGGGAGCGGTAAAATATTTATTATATATATGGGTGGGCCAAAGGTAGTCGTATATTGCATAGATGGGTAGGCTGACGTGGGGGTATATAATATAGATGGGTGGGCCCAGGAGAATGATAATTGTAGACATGATGGAGCTCAGGTAGTTGTATATCATCCAAATCAAAGGAGGTAATAATTCAAAGTCATCTAATGATGTCGTATGGCACAGAGTTTTGCAAAGGGGTGAAGTGGAAACTCGTGTTCCAGGCCCTGTTCATCAAAGCTTTTAGATAGAAGAGGAAGGTCTTGCAGTATGGCACGGAGCTTTGCAAAGGGGTGAAGTGGAAACTCGAGTGAAGTGTACCGAGTTCCAAGACCTGGGTCTCAATAAACGAATATGTGATATCCATCACACTTCCGATCATCTGGTATTTCATTGAGCAATGGATGATAATAGATCTTTGAAAGCCAACATCATCCAAGCCTACCAAATGCCAAATGCCAAGTTCCAACTACTGAAAATCGAGTGGTGTACCCGAAATCCGAGCTCCGACTATCGAATCCCGATTATCGAGTATTGAGTCCCGACTATCGAGTCCTGAACATCGAGACTCGAAACAAAACAAAACTCAAAACTCAAAACTTGGAACTCATATATTTTTGCGAGTTTCGGGTCCCGAACATCGAGTCCCAACTATGGAGTCCCAACTATGGAGTCCCAAAACACGATTCCCGAACATCAAGTCCCAACCATCGAGACCCGAAACCCGAAGCCTGAGATTCGAGACTTGAGTTCCGACCATGGACTCCTGGGTATCGAAAATCGAGTGAAGTGTACCAAGATCCGAGGCCCAGGTCTCGACAAATGAATATCAGATATCCAACAGACTTCCAATCATCTGGTATTGCATTGAGCAATTGATAATAGATAATAGAACTTTGAAAGCTAAGATCATCCAAGGCTCTCTTATCTGATCCTCTCTATCTCTACCCCTTTAACACCAAAGTGCGGACATCCAGGATTCAGCTTCTGATCTCACAAGATCAATTCAATCATGGATGTTTCTTCCACTTCCGATGATGAAATAACCCTCTTGCGCACTTGGGCCCTGACTGTCACTCATGTGGCATGTGAATATACCGAACAGAAATTCAATGCAGAGAAGACAGGAGGAGACCCAGTTATACCTTCTCCGAACCTAGACACTGATCTGGTGATGGCTTGTGATTGATTGGTTGATCGGCTCATAAAGGCATATAAAAATCCCAGTGAGTCTTCCTGCAGATTCGGAAAATTCGTTTGATCAGTCAAATTGCTTCATCACAGTTCAGATGCCGATCGGTATTGCAAGATATAGCAAATTGATCTCCCCAAAGGACACAGGGCATAATGAAGAGAGAGAGGCAAGGTTGCTCGAGAGGTGTCCTCCTGGCCATGAGGGCACAAAGTTGATCGACATACCTGCGACAATTCTTGATGCATCCGGTGCCATCATCGCATGGTACCTCCTGGATGCCCTGACCGATGCCACCCAGGTGTGTTATATATATTGTTACTGGATGGATATTGAACATCAAATGGTTCCTACAGAAGGAAATTTGGGCGGCCTCAGATTTGCTCGCTCTGATACTCGAAAAAAGCGTAAAGCTCGATGGGAATTGGCATACTAATCAAAAGTGGTTCACACCAAGGTCCCAAAATGATGTCCTAACTCCCGGATGCATTAATTTATCTCCGGCGTGGTTTCAGCAGGGGCATGAGGTAGGATCTGATGAGATGGCAATCTAGGTAGTTAAGCTCACGAATCCCCCAGAATCAGGTAGACCCGGCGGTTTCTGCATCATTGAATGGAGCATCCTTGGAGGATATCCTGAAGGCCATTGTGAGGCCAGCAGCCATTGCAACAGCGGCACTCAGGGTTATGCATCCTGAGCAGTACTGGGCAGGGTTGTGAGCCTTTGCGAGCCTTGAAGAAAAAGCACGAAGCAAGCAACTGCCGAAGATGTCAGAGACTCTCCAGTACTGGGCAACTGTGTTTAACAGCCTCTCCGTGATTTGCAATCGGGAAACCCCGAATCATCGAGACCATTCATCAATTCCCAAATGCTTCGATATTCTCACTAGCGTGGGGAGTTATTCTAATGCTCGGATGAGTATGCCAAGCCTTCAGCTGGAGTTCAGGTACGATCCGGGGTGTATGATTGCTTTTTCAGGAAGGATTGTCAGACACGGGGTTCATGCAGTGGAGGGGGATCGGATTGCCTGGGCATGGTATATGAGGGATGCTGTTCATATTTATGCCGGGATTCCGTCGTGTGGATGGGCAAGGTTGGATTGGAAGAAGTAGAAAAGGTAGTTACACGTGTTAGTACCCACCTTCAAATACATGATATTAGATATCAGGCACTCCATACTCGTAATTTGGGTTTTGGGTCTCGATAGTCGGGACTCGATATTGCAGGATACTTGAAAGTGTTATTGTACACATTTCACCGACTACTGAGTACCGGGTTTCGGGTTGCGGTACTCGGCCCGACCAATGAGTCCCGACGATCAAGTCCCAAATATCGAGACCCGAAGCCTGAAGCCTGACGATCAAGTCCCGAATATCGAGACCCGAAGCCTGAAGCCTGACGATCGAGTCCCGAATATCGAGACCCGAGACCCGAAGCCCAACCATCAAGTCCCGAATAACAAAACCTGAACATCGAGTCCCGAAGCCCGAATCCCAACCATCAAGTCCTGAATATTGAGACCCGAAACCCGAAGGACGACATTCGAGACTCAAACAACTCAATACTCCAAATTCAAAACAATGACACTCATGCATTTTAACGAGTTTCGAGTTTCAATTTTGGAGTCAAGAAAATACACATTTAATGAAATACAATTTTGGGAGTTGTCTTCTTGAATCACCGAGTACCGCAACCCGAAACCCAGTACTAGGTAGTCGGTACTCGGTGATTCAAGAAGACAACTCCCAAAATTGTATTTCATTAAGTACCGACACCCGAGATTCGGTACTCGGTACTTGGTACTCGGGTGTCGGGTGTTGGGTGTCGGTACTCAGATTTATGCGAGTTTTGAGTTTCTTGATTCGAGTTTTGAGTTCGAATCGAGTACCAACACCTGACACCCGAGTACCGATGATACACACGAATCACCAAGTACCAAGTACCGAATCTTGGGTGTCGGGTGTCGGTACTCGACTCAAAACTCGAAACTCGAACACACGAATCACCGAGTACCAAGTACCGAGTACCGAATCTCGGGTGTCGGTACTCGGTACTCGGGTGTTGGGTGTTGGGTGTTGGGTGTCGGGTGTCGGTACTTGATTTGAAACTCGAAACTCGAATCTTGAAACTCGAATCTTGAAACTCGAATCTTGAAACTCGAAACTCGCATAAATCTGAGTTTCGAATCCCGAGACTTGAATCACCGAGTACCGAGTACCGAGTACTGAATCTCGGGTGTCAGGTGTTGGGTGTCGGTACTTGACTCGAATCTCGAAACTTGAACCCGAAACTCGCATAAATTTTGAGTACCGACACCCAACACCCAACACCCGAGTACCGAGTACCGGTCGGGACTCGATGTTCGGGACTCGATGTTTGGCACTCGATACTCAATGGTCGGGACTCCATACACGGGGCGTCGTGTTTCGGGCTTCAGGACTCGATAGTCGGGACTCGGGTTTCAAGACTCGGTAGTCAGCACTCGATACTCGATAGTGGGGACTCAAAACTCAAAACTCGTAAAATGTTTGCATCAAGTTTTGAGCATTGAGTATTGAGATTTGTGTAGAGTCTCGAGTCTCGAGTCTCAAATCTGAATCTTGGCCTTCGGGCTTCGGGTCTCGATATTCCGGTCTTGATATTCGGGACTCGATGTCGGGACTTGACATTCGGGACTCAAGATATCTGGCTCTCGATACTCAAACATTGGGTATGCGGGACTCGGCATATAGCAATAGGTCATATATTTGGAAGTCAGTGTTTAATTTTCAGTACTTATTACATCATGTACAGAATTTAGACTTCAACATTCTGAACTGAAGGACTAGAACTACTCCGGTCCCCTTGGCTTCAATTTGGTTAGGACAGCTGTGTACATCTGAATCTCGGCCATCTTTTCACGGATGCCATCTTGTTGATCCTCAATCACTGTCAGGAGGCATTCCTCTCATCCACCTCAGTGCCTTCAGTGATGCAACCGAGCTTTCAGCCACCTGCTCGGGAACAACAAGATGTTCGTCCTCAACGCCAGACTAGAAAGGATCAGTAACCATTCAAGGAAATTCGGTAAAAGTCTTACTATCCAATGCTGGTAGTGACAGATACAATTGGCGAATACCTGATCCCATGCCCATAATTCCTTTGGGATTGCAGTTGGTCCGGTCCACCATTGAGTTCCATAGGTTGATACAATCTGGGAGGGATCCCCCAGATCTGCAACATCATGGAACTCGCACAGGTGGGATGAAAAGATGTTGTCTGGGAACCATGTTCCAGGTGAGCTCGGGAATCAACCGAAGAATATGAGTGACCGGGCTTGAAACAACCAAAATGATGTTCCTTGCAGCTGAGTACTGCAGGAGGGGAGTCACAAAAGTCTGTTGTAAATGTCAGCATTGACCACCACAGTCATCAGTCTCTTACAGCTATCTCCCATTGCAGCCCGGCTTTAAAGTGCATGATCCGAGCAGCAGAAGGCTC